AGGTGGTTTAAGGTAGGTGAGTTTTCTATAATTGGTCCCGAACTAGTCTATGATGCCATTGAAAAAGTTTGACTTATTAGAAATAGGTTAAAGACGGCCTATAGTCGGCAAAAGTCTTCTGCCGACAATAGGAGGAGGGACCTAGAGTTTGAAATTGGTGATTGGGTCTACTTGAAGATTTCACCTATGAAAGGTGTTATGAGATTTGGCAAGAAAGGTAAATTAAGTCCCCGAAGTTTGGGACCATAACAAATCTTGAAACGTGTTGGGAAAGTGGCATATGAGTTAGAGTTACCCAATGAATTGGCTCCGGTTTGCCCGATGTTTCATCTCTCCATGCATAAGAAGTGCATTGGTGATCCGGTATCCATCCTTCCTTTAGAGGGTTTAGGAGTCGATGAAAGCCTTTCTTATGAAGAAGTTTCGGTAGAGATTTTGGACCGACAAGTTAAGAGGTTGAGAAACAAGAAAGTAGCTTCCGTTAAGGTTTTATGGAGTAATCACTTAGTTGAGGGTTCTACATGGGAGGCCGAGGCCGATATGATGTCCCGTTATACTCATTTATTTCCTTCTGTTCCTATCCAAACTTGAGGTAAGTAATTTCCTCTTGAGTTTTTGTGTTTGGGGAGTCATATGTATTGTATGCGTTTTTCATATTTTTCCTTGTATTTGACATGTTCTCGATTAAATTCATGTTAGGTGTAAAATAAGCTTTCATGAATTATATGTTCTCATGTTGAATTGCATTTGAGTATGATGTTGGCGTATGTGACCTCATGATATGAGTTGATGAACATGTTTAGTTAAGATGTGATGAAGTTGCATGTTAGCTTAATGTTGTTATGTTGAGCTTGCTTGTGTTGGAGAAGGTAAGTCCTCCCACGTTTGTATGAAATGAAAATTTTTGGTGCATAATGAGATTATGGATATAGTTCCCACTTTTTGTATGCATTGAGCTTATGATGTGGAGTTGATGATTTCCTCCTATGATTTGTACATTGTTATAGATATGTCTTGTATGATGGGCTGCTAGTCTTGAGTCTTTAGTCCCTTAATATGTTTAAAGTGTCATTCGAGGGCGAATGTTCCTAGGGGGGGGATATTGTGACAACTCGGAAAATCTATAGGCTAAACTAGAGCCTCATGGTGTGCGTTAGCATAACCTCTAGTTGGTGTCTAGGCTGAATTAGAGATAATGTGGGTGTTAATGTAACTTAAGGAGATGTCTTAGACCAAACTAAAGCTGAAATAAGGGAGGTAAACATCTAGGGTGAAGTTGGGAACCTAAACTATCAAAGATGGGTGAAGGAAAACTTGTTCTCTCTTTGGATAGGGTGGCGATGGGCAACATGGTCACCCAAGTTCTTTGGCGATGCGCCAAAGTGCACTTGGGTCGCCTAGTGGGCTGTCCCACTTATCGTAATCGTTGGAGAAATGGGCGAGCTAGGTCGAGGGTCCTCCAATGGGAGGGCGATCCGCCCATCAGACCTCTCCCTTTGCCTAGTGTGCTGCCCATTTTTGGAGCTCACTGGAAATTTGGGCGAGCCAAGGGTCCACTTGGCGAGTCGCCTTGTGCCCTTGGCTAGCCAAGAGGGTCCAATGGCCGAGCACCAATGTGAAGACCATAATTTTTAAGTTTTAAGTAGGGGTCTTTAAGTAATCTTTCAAAAACTTGAACCAACACTTTCCCACTCTTTTCCTAACAAGTATATATACTTTTTAAGGTCAAATTCCTCCTATTTTTAGTTACTCTCACTTAATAAAAGAAGAAACCCAAGAACACCAAAATATTCTCTCTCTAAACTCCATTGAAGAACAAAGAAGAACTCAAGCTAGGGGATTCAAGAACAAGTCTTTCTTCTCAAAATTCGTGAGGATCTCAACCTAAGGTGTGGATGCTCTTCATTATTTGGTAGATATCCCCCAAGAAGTCCATTCAAAGTGTGTTTTTAAGACTTCCAAAATCTAGGGTTTTACTCTAAACATGGGTCTTCTTCAAAAATAATTTCTATTGTTCAATTGTGATTTACTATGACTAATTATGATGATTTATGATTAGATTGTTGTGGAATTGATAGTTTTTGATGAAATTCTCTTATAGACCCATGGTTTCCTTTCCCTTCTTAAATTGTGAAACAAGATATGACTTGATTGGCTATGGAAGTTGGTAATTGATTATGTTATGTTTAATTGATGATCATATCATAAATTCTCTATATCTATTGTGGTAATTCAATAATGTTAGGGTTTATGTTTGTCCATGGCCAAAAAGGGCAATTGGCTAGGGTTTGTGTATGTTGATGTTGACCCTATATGACTAGGTGAACTACTTGGATAATAATGATCCTATATCTAATGTTGTGGTATTGATGCAAGGTTCTTCTTCCTTATACCCTATACACTTGATATTGTATGAAACATGTATGTATGCATGTTTATGGTAAGCTTGTGGAGTTGCTTGAAAGGACCTTCTCATGATCACACTACTATTGCAATGTGAAAGGTTTACTCACATGCTAATGTTTATAAAGGTGAAAGGAGTTTTCTCACTTAAAGAAACCTATGAGCTAATAAGATGATATGTTAACATGAGTAGCTAATACACTCTCTTGTGACTAATGAACCTAAGTAAAGTCAAATGGTGACTTTTAAAGGGAATAATGCTTAGCACCGACAGGACATGAAAATGAGATGGTGGCTTTTACGTCTATGAAGGCCGGCTTCCTAATGCACGATATCTCATGAGATGGAAACCTTCTACGTCTAGAAAGTCCGAGTTTCTAGTAGCAATATCCTTGTCCCATAAATATGTGCCCATATAGGTCTTAGCTAGTGGATCCACCTAAATAGCTAGAATTACGTTCTACCTTAGGCAAGTAGAACCCCTCTTTTCGATGTGGGGGTAGAACACCGGACTCCATGTAGCTCACATGGTATATGTCGGTTAATGCAATATTTCCCTAAATGATAATGAATGAACTATGGTAAGAACATGGAATTTAACTAGGACTTCTTAAGGGGTACTACTTACTGTGAGTGGGGGTATGGGACTTCACTTATACATTGCACAAGTAGACTCTAAGAGGGGTTTTGGTAAGGTTATTTTATATTGTGATGACTTATTAATAATGCATGGAAGGCATGAATGGATGTTATGAACATGAATGTCTTCACTTTTATGTATATTGATGGTAACCTAAGTGTGATACTTGGCATTTGGTAGGGTTATGGGATCTTGCCTTTGCATTGCACTAGTGTGGCTTTGGGTTGCTCATATGTTGAATTGGCTTATGTTTCTTTATGAATGTGTATAATGGCTTTTAAACTTGATAAATGCATGATTTCAACTAAAAGTCCCTTTTATGCATGTTTTAAGGATTTTTGTGCATGTTATCCATACTTAGTACAATTCATTGTGCTAACCCATATTTTCTACTTTACTATGAGTGTAGGATCCGGTTGTTGATACTTACTACTTTTTTCAAGGTGAAGCTTGGGTCGACTATTACCCCGGCTTTGTGAGTCCTCAAGTTCGAGGACGAGATGCTATTGATTTTAGTTCTTAGTTTCCTTCTATGTTCTAGAATATGTTTTATCACCCATTGTTGGGAACTTTATTGATGTAAATGGCTTTGTCCCTATTTGTACTCTTATGTTTAGATAGTGATTGAGACAAGTCTAGTTTCCTATTTTCCCTATATGAAGAAGTTGACTTATATAGAAAAGGTTTTAAATTTTCCCATATTTTTGTATGTCTTTATGTAATGATGAATGCTAAGGGCTTGTATAAGACCCATTCGGGGTCAAGTATGCCGTGTTATGACTAGGGGGTGCTCTCGGGTCGTGACAGTAAAGGTGTACGGGTTCCTTAACGTCTTAATTATCTACTCATGTGATCAAATCCATAATTATATCCCCCATTCATTACCAGATTTCCCTAGACCTCACCTGACTTAGATTTCGTCCAAATCTGGACTAGGCTACAATTTTCAAGTCATTACTCAGAAGTTTTTTGGCCCCGATTCTTTCACCATTGGCTTTTCTATAACGACGAAAATATGTCATTACAGAAATAAAAAGGAATATATATATTGCTTTTACTAATAGTATGATGTCTTGCACTTGGTATAATTACTAGAAAACATGGAATTAACAAGTTCAATATGACTTGTACTTTCAACTAGTTCACTATTGCAGCAAGTTATTAGTAATAGTACTTGTTGCAACTGACTAGAATCTCTACATAATATTTTTCTAAATATAAAACATTGTTGGTATTAGTTTTTACTCTACATACCAAATATTTCTTATCAAATTAATATGAATTTGGGAACTTTTTTCTTGGCCCGCAAGATACACGTACAATGCACAAGATGCATATATGAAACACGAGATGCACGTATGACACACGAAATGCACGTACGATGCACAGGATGCACGTGTTGCATTAATTCTACCTTTATTCCAAAAAGTGGCTGCAAGGGTCTTATTAATGGTATATTACTTTAATCAATAACAATACTAGTATATGTGAAATAATGAGAGATACATGCACTGTGAAGATATTGTTGTAACCAAAAGAATATATGACAAGCATTTCCTTATATTAGTTTAAATTCTATAAAGAAAACATATAGAATTGCATAAGAGAAAAAAAAAACAGTAATGCATATTTACATTATTTCTAGCCCTATCTAATTTTTAGAAAGGATGTACCTCGTATATAAGACTCCAGACCAATTATTTGCATGAGGCAATGTGTTAATTAATACCCTAAGTAAAAATACGTTTTAGTTAATTCATGAATATTAATCTTTCAAATTATGTAACAACTGCTATATTTAGATATCTTTGATAAAAGTTTGCATTGACAACACCTATTAACTAGGTTTCCTCATCTTTCAAGCCATAGTGATTTCTAATTTATTATTGAAAACCTCAATGCTATCATTGGTGGATGTGGCCAAAATAATTTAGGAAAACCGGTGAGAACTTATCTCTCAATATTGGCCTCTGGAAGCCGGCTTTGTGATCGGCACAACTGCTCGCTTCATTTGTCGTCTCTGTGCCTCTAACAACATCCCTGTAAAATAAATGACGAGAGTTAGGTAGCAGGATCCTATTCTGCTGATTTTATTTTAAAAGGTTGAAGAGAATTACTGAATGTTGACTTTATTCAGTTTGTTCATATGTATATTGAAGGTAACACCGTGGCTGGTTCTTTAGTTCCAATTAAGGCATATTGTAGCATGTTTTTGGATTAGAACAAATAAATTAAGGTTAATTCATAGTTTATTATTCTTTCTTCTTTCATCCCTACAATCGACGAACTTTGTAATTACATTGCTTATTTATTCAAAGGAAAAACCTTATTATGTTAAGGTCCATAACAACATCTACACTTCATTGATAACTTGTAAAAAGTCTAATACTTCAGTCTAGGAAGAGTTACTTTTTTTTTTATATCAGTTTATGAATTACTAGTTAATTCAGTTTGGTGAGAACTATAATATACCTCTAACATTGCATTGCTAGAGCACCGCTATTTGTTGTGTCTGAATCTAGTGGAATGATGTCACTGGCTTCAAGAAGTATTTCCTTCTTAAACATTTTTATATGACAATAAGTTCACCCTTATTAAAAAAATGTAGAGAAAAATAAAATAGTACATTAATTTTCTCAACTTACCTCCTTTGCCGGTCTCGGCACATCAAAGGTCTATGTGACAGAAATATCTGGAACATCATTTATGTAACATTGATGGTAAGAGTTTAATTCAAGAAAACTTAGAGGACAATCACATAATTAATATGAATATTACTCAAACTATATATATATATCACAAACTCAAGAACTTGATTTTTGACTTTTTTTCTTTTGAAAATCTGAAATCAAATGAAGAAGTTTTTATTTGTTGATATTTTACTCGTAGCTACGTACTGAGGTCTTTATCAAAGATGAACGATCAAGTATTTTTATTTTTCTTTGACTAATAGTTAGACGTCTTGCATTTCGTATAATTATTAAAAAGATGGATTTAACTAGTTTAGTATAAGTTGTAATTTTTTGCTAGATTACGATTGCAGCAAGCTATTAATAATAATACTTGTTATAACTTATTACAATCTCCACATAATATTTTTCTAAATATCATACATTGTTAGTGTAGTTTTTGCTCTATATGATTTCATCAAAATATATGAATTTGGGAACTTTCCTCTTGGCCCAAAAGATACATGTAATGCACACGAGATGCACTTATGACACACGATGTGCACGTATGACGCACGAGATGCACTCTTTTCTCTACTTCTACCTTGATTCCAAAAACTGATCACGAGAGTCCTTATTTATAATTTGAATACAGAAAGTTCCTACATCGCCACAACATATGCCATTCCCTTAGTAGGATTCTATTGATTGTTAAATGGACCTTGTGATTGGACTAGAGAAAAATAAAAAAGAAGAAAATTTTGGAGTTTATGGTCTAAAATAAGTCAAGTGAAAAAGCAACGATATAAGTTGGACCATAGAGTCATTAGACAGTTAACTTGATCTAGATCCACATCGAATTACCTAACAACTCCATTCTCTCATATGGGTTACATTTTTCTCGGAAGGAAGAGTGTGTGAAAGCTTCATATAACAAGTTGGGATTCTTGAATGTGTATCCAACTATTTTCTCTGATTCCTCCACTAACCTTCTCCATTGTTTGTGATCATCATCACGTGTCAATTGATTTGTATTATTTTCTTCAGTTAAATGGAGATTTTGTGATAATGAAATATTTAGAGAACCAAGATTTTCTTCTACTTTGTTTACTTCCATGACTATTATATTTGAAAAAGTAATAAGAAAATTTAAAGATGGTTTTTATAGAGTGGGTTGATATAGAATAATGACAATAGGAATGTTGATTTTTAAAACGAGTGAAAGGAAAATGAAGAGTTGTGACTTTTGTGGAGAGTTGTGATTATTTTGAAAAGTTGCGACTTTTCTGAAAGGTGGTGACTTTTGTGGAGAGTTGCGACTTTTCTTAAGAGTTGAAATTTCTACAAAAGGTAGTGACTTTTCCGAAGGATTGTGACTCTTTGAAAAGCTTGTGACTTTGTTGAAATGTTGCGACTTTTCTGAAAAGTTGTGACTTTTACAAAGGGTTGTAACCTTTCTGATAAGACACAATAAACACTTTTTCATGCTACCCTTTGTTATCTATATGTAGAGGGATTTCCTCTCATTTTTTAACAATGAATTCTACACAAATAAATAAATATAGAGTATTTTACTGTGTTTGAGTGGTTTGTTCATACCATGGTTTTTGGTAGCATTCTTTGACCACCATTTCGGACACGCCCGACACAAACTTACTCATCTTTATCCTAGAGTCAGCAACCATAGTAGGAGCATACTTAGACAATTGAGTGAACCTCAATGCATACTCCTTGACACTCATTTTCCCTTGTTGTAGATTGATAAAATCTTGCACCTTCGCCTCCCTCACCTCAAGAGGAAAGAAACGATCAAGAAACATCTCTTTGAATTTATCCCAATCTAGAGGACCCACATCAATTGCCCTCTTCTCCTTTCGTTGATCAAACCAAACTTGAGTAACACCCTTGAGATGGTAAACTCCAAGTCTGCCTTTTCCACCGGAGTTATTCCCATGATGTCCACAATCTTGTGGATTCCCTCAATGAACTCTTAGGGATCTTCCTAAACTTTCGACCCATAAAACTCTGGGGATTCATTCTAGTGAAATCCCTTACCCTTGTTGCTGTGTACAACCAATTGGGTTCATGGAATCAACATCTTCCCTATTAGCTTAGGCATTCATAGATTGAGCCAACACTTGAAAAACGGCTCTAAACTCAGCATGTGACACTTGTTCGACCAAAGGATCGACCGGCAATTGAGGAACCTCACGCTCCACAATGTCACAAACATTCCTTCTTGTGTTAGCTCTTCAAGGAGGCATATTTTGAAAAGCATCGAACAACATAAGGAAGAAGACCTTTACAAAAATCAACTTTATCGCACAACTTTAGAATAATGAAAGTAGTGAAGTTTCCCAAACGCCTTGTGTCCTCCTATTCATAAATAAGGCGCACTTGGCACTCATGAACAAGACTCTACTCAATGTGGCTTGTCAGACATCCTAGAACCGTAAAAACCTGATGCTCTCAGTTTGTCACGATCCAAACTAGGCCCTATGTATGAAATGGCGAATAGGACCCGAGAGGCCTTAGAAATTCCAGTTCACATAAGCATGCCATAATAAAATATAAGATATGAGAACACAACATAAAAATGAGATATAAGTCTCAAATATTTATGTCATACAAGATACTAAAACAAAATACATAAGAGAATACGCACAACATCAACTATGTCTGACACAAGCATTCACTATCATATATGTGGGACAAACCCCTAAACCATGTTTAAAGTCTAAATCAAAAAAATGACATAGAAGAAAGAAAACTCATAATGGAATTGCCCTCAATCCATGAGGACTCCCCAATTCAAGTGTAGTAGCGGAGCAATCCAACTATCCATGACTAGACGGAGGATCGTCAGATCCTATATTCTTAAACAATATAGGCACAATATGCATCAATACTTTGAATGTATATGTCAAATCAACCAAAATACCTTTTAATATTGTGGTCTTAAACATGTCACACAGAAAGTTGAAATTAAAATATAGCCAAAAAGGAAAGAGCTCATTCTTTTTTAAATAGACTAGAAAAGAACGAGTTCATTCTTTTATAAACGGGGAGTATCCGACATGATTTTGAAACAACAATAAGTCTTCAAATGGGAAAATACAAAGAAATAATAGAACATCCATAATCTCCACATTACCTTAAAGTAAAAGTAACTGAAATTGTTTGAAATATTAAACTATGAACCCATAAACATAACCAAGATGATGGTTCTACTGTTTATATTCGGGTCAAGAATCCATATATTAAGATCTTGAATGTGCCTCTGAACACAAGTTACACACCTTGACCAAGAGGTGCTACAATGACTTTTACTCTTGGTGATGCTTTTAAGGACATCATCAGTTGTTTACACACAGCCAATACCTCAACTACATCAAGTTCATCAGAAGGTTCAACAATCATCCTTGAAAGTGAAGGGGAATATGCCAATATGAGCTTTAAGAAAATGTGTTCAAATTGTGTCCCCTCAAACTTTCTTAGTTCCACAAATTCAAGCTTCTCAAATTGTTTATCAACACAATTTGGATCTTCCAAATAATGTGCAACGTCATCTATGTTTCTTTCACTCAAGGTATTGACAACCTATAGAAATTCATATAGTGCAAAAAGACGAGAAAAAAAAGGTTAGTAATTTTACAAATTTCATTGCCATAAAATATTACTTGTAGATATTTTTTTAAATTTGTATAACTCTACTAATGGTGTATAAAATTCATTCCATTGTGAGTACGTGTATATAGGTTAAAATCTGTAAAGTATTTAACTTATATACAATGAACGTGTAATTTTTTTTTTCTCTATCAAATCACTAAAAAAGTATCTACTGGTAACCAAGTTAAACTAATAATATTAAAAATAAGATAGATTACCTACTACAACACGTAAAGGTTACCTACTATCAGTGTATATATAACTTAAACTTGATTTTAATTTATTGAAGGTGAGAAAACATTACATCTATCTCCAGTGAGTGCAAGTTGGGAGAACTTCGAATCAAGGAAAGAACACCAGAGACTTGGTTTAGATCCAGAAATGTCACACGCAATGTTACATGCTCCAAATGGTAGGGTTTGGGGTGAAACCTTTTTGGAATGATTTCTGCACCCAAATGCTAAGTAAAAGAAATAACAAAAAGGCAAAAATGCATTAATGGTTAAGTATATATGAGAAGCATAGTAATATTTATGGAGAACTTTTTAATAAAGAATATTGAAATATGTCTTGATCAAATTATACTCACCTGAATGCAAGAATTACTCAAAACAAGCCTTGTTAGGTTACAACACAAATAAAGAAGACGAGACCATGTAATGAACCTCTCTTCTTCATAAGTTTTTGATTCTTCACGGACTTGTAATACCATGAACAACTCCCTAACATTTGACAAGTTTTCAAAAAAACTTGCGTGAATGTCATGACTATCATGAATAGTCAAGAACTGGATCCTAGGAGCAGATATGGTGAGGAAATGAACGCCATTGCAAGCAATGAACGTTAAGGATGAAAGTAATGGGGTATTCAAGACATAATTTGCCTTGTTTGGGAAAAATTTGATGAACTTCAAGGTCAATTGAAGGAGATTTGGGAATAATGCTCTGGGAGAAGGTGGAAATTTAACCATGAAATTGGTGACATCTAGATATGTGAGAGTTGGACAATCAAATATACAAAAAGGTAATGTATAACGCTTGTGTTTGAGATTTTTTAGGGTAAGTTCTTTGACACGTTTACTTGTTACACATAACAACCAATAGTCAACGTCCTTATCATTACAGTAGATGGTTGACAAATCAAGAAAAAATATGACTATTAATCCAATATGTCGCAAGAGAATATTGTCAATCATGCTACTAAAACCATATTCTACCAATCCTGTAGTAACACTTAACTCGTTAAAGAACTCCCTATCTAGAACTACAATCGGATGCGTAGCCCAGAAATGTTTCCATATATTCGACCAGACACATGTTTTTACCAATTCTAGAAATGACATGTCCTTGAATATTTCATCGAGGATATGTGTGGGCAAATTAGAGATTTTGTCTATCTCATTTTCATCAATGATCACTCCTTTACCACGATTAGTCATGTTCACCATTCTGTACATAAAAGAAGCTAAGTCAAACTTCAGTCTATATTTTAGGAAAACGAAGATGTATTTCAAGGATATAGATTAAAGGTCTTCAAAAATTATTTCTAGTCCTAACAAGATTTTATTTTATTCAGAAGAAAAAACACAAGAATGTCAGAAAATTTTCCCATCTAGACAATTTGTTTATACTAAATACACATAGAGGAAATCCACACAAAATTGGTACCTCTTTAATGTAGATAAAAAAATTAGATAGTAAATTATAATTGTTAAAAGAACACAGTTTTTTAATGTTTGTGCATATTAAAAAGATTATATTTACCTCTTGCTAGATCTAACAGGACTATGTTAGATCTGAAATGGAATTCAATGCTTAATTTATAAATTAAAAATTTCTTCAATTGATACGATTTAAATTAACATTATTTCTAAAATATTTATTAATTATAAGGATTCCTTTTATTTCAATTTCTTATAGATGCACACAAAACTTCATAGACCATCCAGAAGAATTTATTTACAACTATAAAACATAAAAATCATTTCTGAAAAATCAACAATAGAGAAAAAAAATCAGTGAAAGATAATACATAATGGAGATTATATAAAATTCGATAAATTTATACCTCAATATTTTCTTGCATCACTTGAAGGGAAGTCCCTTAGTTGTTTTGTATAATTTAGAGTGTACGTAAGAATACAATGTGTTGGCAAAAATATATATCACACTAATGTCTTGTTTAAAACAAATATAATAAATGGGCCCCATGGAAAAATACATATTTACTTTGTCTTATAAATTGTTTTTTCATGTATTTGTTTCAAGAAATTAATTTATGAATCCCACATTTTAAATGTAGATGACTTTTTCTCTGTTGAAGATAGTTTCTACTTAATAAAACTCAGATGTTCCTGAATATTTAGAGTCTTAATTTTGACAGCCATTCAACTTATGTTTGAATATATTTATTACATTGACCATTTTACTTAAATTGGTCATCTGAAATCTGATTATCACAGATTCTTGAATTACATATACTTACCAAATATTTTATGATCAACATAAGCGATAGATAGATCCAGTTTATTTGGTGCTAATTACATAAAACTATTTAGACATAAATTTTATGATCCAAAATCTGAAGGACTGTGAAGAAACTTCACCAACCCTCCGTTAGGTAAGTCAACTTTTTTTTCGATATACTAGAATCTATTAATCATATGGAAATAACTGAAATAGCAGAAACAAGTCATAACTTAGCTTTCATATAAGTATATAAATGTGGAAAATACCAATTACTAGAAGAGATATTAGAAGTAAAATACAACTTTTTAAGTATGAATACACTATCTGAAATGATAAAGGACTAAAAAGTAAAAGACAAAATTTAGAGTTGACTATGGTAAATATTTAATAGAGTACTTTGAATTAGTGATTTGATGTTTTAACATATCTGTAATATATTTTATGATATATTTGCACTTTTGATTTTCTGGATTAGTTTGACGGGTGAAATAGAGAATTTCGCATAGTCGATGCACCAATATTGTCTGTGTAGTTGGTTTTCATCTCCACACTTGCAACGGCTAGATCCGATTCGTAAAGAATAATTGTAAGATTTCTACACAGCCATGATGTCTGTGTTGAAGTCGATTGGTTCTGGGTTAGGAATCACATGTGTGATTGTTCCGTCATGATTGCGATGAGTTGGGTCGAATCACTTGTTCGCGTTCACATTTGTGATCTGAATTCACAAAGCGCAATAAAGATCCAAAACAAATTAAATTTCAATTTGAACTATCACGATCCAACTCATCGGGTTGTGTGGGCACCTTACTCTAATGCCTAAGTAGGAACTCTTACCTCCAAATTGAAATATGAAATGCAAAAGTTAAGAAAATATAAACTAATCACGAGATACTCCTGAGCATCTCCAACCCTACCCTCTATTTTACTCTCTAAATATAGAGTGCTCTATTTTTTTCCACACAATCAACTCCAACACAAATTTTTTATTTGATAAAAAAATATTTTATTCTATATAACATAAATGCGACAAATATTATATATAATACATATTAGCGAACAATTCAAATCAAAGTGAAATTATTAATGAACTACAATTATATAATCAATATTGCATTATCGTAAAAAATATTTTAAATTTTACATAAATATTCAACTTTCAAGATTGTTACGTTTCTCCCATAAATTCTCTATAAATGCATTACAAAGTTCAAAATGAGCAATTTTTTGTCCTTGTTTTTTATTTGTAGCTAAAAAATATTTAAATTAACGATTTTATCTTGTATCCAATTATTTTGTATACTAATTTATTTCTCCTATTCCATTTTAAACTATTGCATCAAGTATCTTCATGCTCATTAAAAAGTAAAGTTTAATCATTTATCACTATAACATAAAAGTGGATTGTTTGAATTATCATGTAAAATTTGTGCATTCTTCATTGTGAAAAATAATTATAATTTTAAATTACATATTTAAAGTGACAAAAACTTTTAAAAAATCAAATTAGAAAAATTGTTAATTCGGGATGGAAGTAGTATATTTATCAATAATATGTTTTTAGATATTATATTACTTAAGAATAAATTACTAATATTAGAGATTTAATTAATAGATTCTTGTATAATATAAAGAATATTAAAATAATTTTAAATTATATATTTGAAGTGTTAATTTTATTATTTTTTTAAAAATAAAATACAAAATTATTAATTCGGATGGAAGTAGTAACTTTTTAATGATATATTTTTAGGTGTTATATTACAATAGAAAATAATTACAAATGATAAAGACTTAATTAATGATATCATAAAAATAACATTAAAATAATCAAAAAGTGAAATAGAGAGGTGAATAGTAGTTCTCCAAATTTGGAGAAGTACTATTCACCTTTCTATAAATGGGGTATAGAGAGTGATATGGAGAGGGGTTGGAGAGGGCATTCTCTATTTTGCTCTCCAAATATAGAGAATGGAGAGTAAAATAGAGATGGGTTGGAGATGGTCTTAAATTTATTTAAAATAAGTACCTTTGAGAAATACATTGATTCCTCCCAATGAACTAATCTAAACAAGTACAAGAATTTTCTAAGAGGGTACAATTTATAAAATAAGACACATCTCTCACCATAAGGGACATCATGAGTAAAAGTTGTTGGATGATCATATTTGCCTTCATCTAAGACACATCACTTACCCTACAACCATACTATATCAAGTGGCATAACAAGAGTAGTATCAGGACAAACAAAACATATTGGTAGGCATCATCGATCGACCCAAATCAACCACATAACATCACACAATAATAAAGAAACATGCACTTGGAGATACAATTTAGGACCCCGATCTTTCAATTACCACCATTACCACCCATTGTTACTACCCCAGAACCCATACACTCTATCTGTAACACCTTAGAAATCAGACTTGGACTTTCAGCAGAAAAAGGTGAACCATGGAAGGGTTCACAGGCCGTGATCAGGACCACGGTCTCTCACCCTTATCGTGGTTCACACCTACCAAGAAGTGGTGGACCACAGAGCCTTTCACGGATCGTGGACCACACATGAGACGTGGGAAGGCTCGTGGAAGTAAGGCAGAACCACCCAAGGCTCATGCATCAGACCACAGAGCCCTCCACGGGCAGTGGTCTTGATTACGGGCCGTGTTGAGGCTCGTCAACCTGAAGCAGTAGACCTCTAGCCCCAAGTGAGCCTTACCATTTTCTTGGAAGAAACTTGATGAAATTGTGACCTTTCTTGATCCATTACCCTTAATCCTCATGATTTGTGGTTTACGTGAATAGCCAACTTAGGCCAAAAGCCTAAGTTGGGGGTGTGGTGAAAAGAGAAGGTAAATCAAAAAGTACAAAGAAGTCCCCTTTGACCCATGGTTATGAGAAAGATGGAGCCCCTCCATACAAAAAAAGAAGAGAGAAAAAAATGAAAAAGAAAAAGAATGCAAAAGTTGTGGAGTAAAATTGTGAAATTGCAAAAAGAATTGGGGTGTCCAACAATCCATGGAAAGTGAATAATGGGGTGACCTTTGATCATGAATGAGAATAATAAATAAAATGGAAGAAAGTGTTGTTCACGCCACATTTCATGCGGATAGCAACCACTGAGCCTAAATGACCAGACCTTTACACTCAGCACCATTATAAGCCTTGAAAAGATCTTTTTGATCTTAAGTGAGCTGAAACAAGTGTTGATTGGAAAATACAGGCAAACCTATGGGTGAAATCATGCATTGTGTTCATCTTTGTGAGTGTGAGTGTTGCATTTGATTCCGGAGCTTTAAATTGTTGAACCGTTGTGTGTGAATATGGAATCATTCTTTGTGTGAGGGCATTTGAGTACCTTTGTTAAGCTTGAACTTGCATTTGAAACAAGTTTTGTGAACTTGAGAGTCTTTGATAATGGTGAGTGACAACTTGAATCTTTGAGTCCATAATTGATCCTTGCATGAGTAAGTTGAGTCTTTTTGTGTGCATTCATGATTTAGTCTTGTGTAGCACTGTTTGAGACATCCTTGTTGAACTGTTGAACTTGAGTTTTACTTGAGGACAAACAAAAGTTTAAGTTGTTGATGAGTCCACGATTTGGACTCATTTATGGCTTTATTTTATTAGATTTAGTGTCCTCAAATGCATAATATGTGACAATAACTAATGTAAATCCTTGATTTCAAGTATTTGGATTAAGGAACAAAGCATGGACACTAATGAGCAAAAAGGAACAAGGCAGTTGAAAGAATGAAGAAAAGATGGCCTGATTATCGCCTATCCCATTGGGCGAGTCGCCGAATGGCCATGATCTCGCCTAAAGTTCTGGTGTGCCAAGCCCTGAAGGAGAAAATCAAGTCGGCGATAGAAAGGAGAAGTTGACGAGTCGCCGAACGGTTCCGCAATACAGTGCTAGATCGCCCAACGTTACAGAACTTGAAGATGCTGAAGGCCAAAGCAAAAAGGCGATGAA